AAGAAAGAAAGAAAGAAAGAAAGAAAGAAAGAAAGAAAGAAAGAAAGAGATGGAGAAAGGGATGGAGAAAGGAAGGGACGGATGAAGGAAGGAAAGGAGGAAGGACGGACAGAATAAAAGAGTTGGAAGGGGCCTTGTAGATCATCTAGTCCAACCCCCCAGGCAAGCAGGAGACCCTACACCATTGCTGACAAATGGCAGTCCAATCTCTTCTCGAACGTTTGTTCTCCTCATCCTGCCTGCCTCCTGCTGAATTCTGGGGAACCCTTGTTGGCTGGGAATTCTGGGCATTGAAGTCCAACCCGTCTTCCATTTGCTGCCATTAAAAAAGAAGTAAACAGTGCCTGGGAAACGTGCAGCTTTTTTAGGAATGTACCAGTTGGGAGCGAAGGAAAAAAAAATTCCAGCCAAAAAAAGGGGAAAAACAAAACAAATCTAGTAATTCCATATGTGGATTCAAATATTCTGGCCTGAACTGAATTTCCAAAGGGAACAAACTTTGCAAAACAAGAAGAAAGAAAAAATCACAGTTGAATCAAAATCAGCTCAAACCAACTGCAGAATTTCTGGGTTTCTTTCCCTTTCGAAATCAGGACATTCAAATCGCTGGCCGATGAAAATTCGAACCCAAAACGTCCTCGACATACAATTCATTTAGTGACTATTTGAAGTTAAGATAGCACTGGAAAAAAAAGGTGACTTAGGACCGTTATTCACACTTAAGACGGCTGCAACATCTCCACGGTCACCTGATCGAAGTTCAGACGCTTGGCCACTGATCCGTACTTATGACGGTCATGCATTTGAGACCTGACCAGCAAAATCAGTGTGGGAAGGCGGCTTCGTTTAGTGGAAGAGCTTTGCTTCACATCTCTGGCAACAATTATTGCAAAACCAGCCGCAAGTCGCTCAATCACCGCCTTGCTTAACGACATAAATTCTGAGTCCCATCTAGAAACAACACTAAGCAGACAAGGCTCACACTGACTGAGGCCGTGATGGCGAACCTATGGCACACGTGCCGCGCAAAGCTGTTTCTGCCAGCACACGAGTCGCAAGCAAACTTATCTCACTGCGCATATGCACACCTCTCACCTGATTTTCGGGCCAGTTTGAGGCTATTTTCAGCCCCACAGAGGTTTGAGGAAGGCCTCTGCAGGCCGAAAAATAGGCCTGTTTTGTACTTCCGGTCTTTCGGTACTTACCTCACTGCACAAGTGCACAACTCCCAGCTGATTTTCGGCCTGTTTGAGGCTTGAGGAAGGCCTCTGCAGGCTTTGCACGCTGAAAAATAGGATTTCCGGAAATACCGTAAGTGCTGAAACGGACACATTTTTCGGCCTGCAGAGGCTTTCCTCAAGCCTCTGTGAGGCCGAAAATAGCCTCAAACAGGCCGAAAATTAGCTGGGAGATGCAGTGCAGGTAAGAGGGGGAAGACTGCGCGCACATGCATAGGGGGCTGCATTGCCTTCTGGGTGCTGGCACCCGAGCGCAAGCGCGCACACAATTTTTGGCGGAGGAGCCCAAAAAGTTAGCCATTACGCGACTAAGGGAAATGTCAGGAAATTGGGATGTTTCCTCCTTTCTCGTCCCCCAAACAGGGCATCACACAGAGCAGAGATACCGAGAAAACCACAGACCTGGAGCTGCCATGATCCCCGACTTCAGAGAGAGATCCCCACTCCGGGCGACGTCCGATCACCACCAGCCTCCTCCTTCCATCTGCAGGGTCCCTGCAAGGGAGCAAATAGATGTTTTCTTTGGGAATCCGGTGTGAAAACAGTGAATTCATTTTACAAAAAGGGGAAGGGGGGAAGGGAGTCAGTATCCCCCCACCCCAAAAAAAAGTCTTCAGGAATTTAAGGGGTGGAGTAGCTTATTCATTGCCTCATGGAGGAGAGGGAAGTACAAGTTTGGCCCCCTTTGAGACGTGGACTTCAACTCCCAGAATCCCACATCCGGCAAACTTGGTTCTTTTAGGACTTATGGACTTCAACTCCCAGAAACCCCCAGATTGTAGGGGTGTAGAAGCTTGGCCCCCTTTAAGACTTGCAGACTTCAACTCCCAGAATTCCGCAGCTGGCTGAGGAATTCTGGGAGTTGGAAGTTCACTAGTCTTAAAACGGCCAAGCTTGTGCATGTGCATATACACACGATTCTAACTCCCTCCTCACAAACCAGCTACAGGACATCATCGACTTAAAACGATTTGTTTAGCGACCGTTCCAAGTTACAACCGGAAAAATGAGATTGAAGACCGTTTTTCACCCTTAAGGACATTGCCGCATCCTCGCGATCAAAAATTTTCAGGGGGCCGGGCAACAGACTCCAATTTACGGCAGTGGCATCCGCCCGGAGTCACACAACGATCGTCCCTCTGACAAGCAGTGTCAAGGGGGAAAGGTGGATTCACTTATCCACCCATTCGACCAACTTTAACCCCCCTGCGGTGGTTCACTTAACAACGGCGTCAAGAAAGGTCGTAAAGGGGGCATTGGTCTTACCTGATATGCTGCTTCTCGGTGTGCTGAGCAGAGAATCCAAGGAATGGGCCACCCCAAAGCCGGCTGTCCTAACGGTGGGCAGCAGTCTGGTCCCGTGTCGGAGTCTATATGCACCTTCTGTAGCGCCTGCCTGCCGAAGGCCGCTTCAGCCGAAGCAAAGGCGTCCAGCTTGTAGTGCCTTATGAACGGGGATCCAGAAGACCACGTTACTGCCCTACAGATCTCCTCGACGGAGGCCGGGTCACCCTTGCCACCGTCGGGGCTACGCTTCTGGTCAAATAGGCTGTCACTCGCCTGGGCGATGGGAGACCTTGGAGCTCGTAAGCTTTGGCGATGCATGCCCGTATCCACCGGCCGATGGTCGATGGTGTCACCTTGTTGCCCAGCGTGGAGGGCTGGAAGGATATAAACACGATTCTGACCTTCTAAAGGAGGCCGTCCTTTTGAAGTAAGGCGCGGAGGGCCATCCTGACGTCCAAGGTGTGTGGTTTCTTCTCCAGGGCGTGGGTTGGGCTCGGGGAGAAGTCTGGCAAGGTTACGACCTGTGCCCTGCGGAATGAGTTCACCTTGGGGAGGAAGGAGGGATCCAACCGCAGGACCACCCTGTTTGGGTGGAGTACGCAAAGGTCCCCTCTTATGGAGAGGGCCGCCAGCTCAGATATCCGTCTGGCCTACATGATGGCCACAAGGAAGGCCACCTTGAAAGTGAGGAAGTGCAGGCTGGCTGAGGTAACGGTGCGAACAGCACTTCTCAGAGCTTGTAGTACTATAGGCGATCCAGGTGTAAGCAGTCGGTTGGAAGGAGCTAGATGGCTCGTCAAAATTTGACGGAAAATCCGTGATCCTGTAGGGCCCGGATTGTGATCTGCAGATCCTCTGCCGCCCAGAGTGGGGAGGAAGACTGTATCAAGGTATTGTCCAGGTAACATTGGATGGGCCCTGGGATCACCCAGAGATGTGCCGCCAGCAATTTGCTGGAAATCCTGGGCGCTAGTGATAGGCCGAAGGGCCTTGTGCTGATAATGTCAGCCCACGTAGTGGAACTGCTGGTGGGACAGCCAGAGGGGTACATGGGGGTATGCCTCTGTCAGGTCTGTGGATGTTAGGAAGTCGCCTTCTTGGATGCTCTCCAGTATTGACTGCAGGGACTGCAAATCTGGAATTTTCTGTAAATTAGGCATTTGTTCAATCTTTTCAGGTCCAGAATTGCTCTCCACCCACCAGGTCTTTGGGACTACGAACCGGATGCAGTAGAACCCCTGCCCGTTGGTCCTTTGGGGCCTGTTGAATGGCTTGGATGTCCAACCCGTGTTGGACTGCTGTTTCCATGTGGCCTCTTTTTGCCTTGTCCCTTGAGATAAGGTGGATTACAACTGGATAATTCCTGTTTTATATTTTGGGACATACTAGACTACTAGAATAACCTAGTGGATATTACTATACATTTTTTCTTTTCTTTTTCTCTTTCTCAATTTTTAATTTTTTTTCTTTCAATCTTTTAATGAGGTTGGTACCTTTTTTTCTATTTTTGTTTTCTTTTTCCTATCTCCTTTACCCTTTTACATTTAACATAACAAGGATTTTTTCCCCTTTCGATTCATTTTTATTTTTATCACTTTCTTTCCTGAATTTCTTTTTTCCTTTCGGATTTTGGTGATCTCTCTGGATTTGTGCAGTGCCCCATCCCCGGTGAAATATATTGGATTAGGGCATAGAAGAGTCGAAGAAAGAAATTTGGAGAAAGACCCCGTTGTGGATTATAAATTGATTTTGAACACAAAATGGAATATAAAGAGATTATTAAGAGACAACAAATACAACATCAAAAAATGAAAAGGGCAACAAACATCCGCTTCATCTTCAGCCTCCTCCTCGGCGGCTTCCAGCCCTGGAGGACAGAGATCCATTGAGTTGTGTTACTGTGGTGGTCTGACAATTGAAAAATGGGAGACGCAGGGAAAACGTCTGAGCAATTGCCAGCCCCGAGAGCACTCGGGTAGCAGTATTTATTAAGAAAATGCAAGAACAAAATCAAAACAATTACCTCAGCAGCATTATCTTAGCCAGGCCTCGGCGAAGGTGATAAAGTTCCCGTGAGAATATCCAGGCACCAAAGGTCTCATGGGAATGGCTCGGCTAGGTACTGTGAACTCCCACGCACATTCCTGGTCTCTGAGCTTTGCAGACCCCAACAGGATCAAATCACCCATCATAAAAGCACTACTGCCCTCATGAGGAGCGTTTGTGATACCCCCAGATCTTACAAAGCTGTACAAGAACTTGCAGAATATGATGGATATATTACCACAGTTACAGCAAGAAAAGAGGCTTACAATGTAGGTGGAAATTAAAATGATCCTCCAAACATTACAAAAGCAAATAGGGAGAGTGGATGAAAAAATAGGGAATGTAGAAGAAAAAGTAGAGTACATTCAACAGCCGATGATAAAAAATTAGAACTGGTAGGAAAAATAGAAGAGAGCAGACATAACAATAAAACAAATCAAGATAGATCTGGAAAAATGGGGTAAGATGCAGTTATTACTAACAGGAAGAATTGCAGCGATTAAGATGAACATATTACCAAAAGTGTTGTATTTGTTTCAAACAATTCTGATAAAATTGGAATTTTTTTTTGAAGAATAAAATAGTACTGAAATACATATGGCAAGGAAAGAAACCAAGAGTTAATGTAAAGACGTTGCATGATGCAAGAACCAGAGGAGGGTTTGGGTTACCTAATTGGGAAATACGCTGCTCAAAAAAAAATAAAGGGAACACTTAAACAACACAATGTAACTCCGAGTCAATCGCACTTCTGTGAAATCAAACTGTCCACTTAGGTAGAAACACTGATTGACAATAGGTTTCACAAGCTGTTGTGCAAATGGAATAGACAACAGGTGGAAAGCAGAGGCAGTTAGCAAGACATCCCCAATAAAGGAGTGGTTCTGCAGGTGGTGACCACAGACCACTTTTCAGTTCCTATGCTTTCTGGCTGATGGTTTGGTCACTTTTGAATGCTGGCGGTGCTTTCACCCTAGTGGTAGCATGAGACGGAGTCTACAACCCACACAAGTGGCTCAGTAGTGTAGCTCATCCAGGATGGCACATCAATGCGAGCTGTGGCAAGGTTTGCTGTGTCTGTCAGCGTAGTGTCCAGAGCATGGAGGCGCTACCAGGAGACAGGCCAGTACATCAGGAGACGTGGAGGAGGCCGTAGGAGGGCAACAACCCAGCATCAGGACCGCCACCTCCGCCTTTGTGCAAGGAGGGACAGGAGGAGCACTGCCAGAGCCCTGCAAAATGACCTCCAGCGGGCCACAAATGTGCATGTGGCTGCTCAAACGGTCAGAAACAGACTCCGTGAGGGTGGGATGAGGGCCCGACATCCACAGGTGGGGGTTGTGCTTACAGCCCAACACCGTGCAGGATGTTTGGCATTTGCCAGAAAACACCAAAATTGGTAAATTTGCCACTGGCGCCCTGTGCTCTTCACAGATGAAAGCAGGTTCACACTGAGCACGTGACAGACGTGACAGGGCCTGGAGACACCGTGGAGACCATTCTGCTGCCTGCAACATCCTCCAGCAGGACCGGTTTGGCAGTGGGTCAGTAATGGTGTGGGGTGGCATTTCTTTAGGGGGCCGCACAGCCTTCCATGTGCTCGCCAGAGGTAGCCTGACTGCCATTAGGTACCGAGATGAGATCCTCAGACCCCTTGTGAGACCATATGCTGGTGCGCTTGGCCCTTGGTTCCTCCTAATGCACAACGCTAGACCTCATGTGGCTCATGTGTCAGCAGCTCCTGCAAGACGAAGGCACTGATGCTCTGGACTGGCCCGCCAGTTCCCCAGACCTGAATCCAATTGAGCACATCTGGGACTTCATGTTTCGCTCCATCCATCAACGCCACATTGAACCACAGACTGTCCAGGAGTTGGGGGATGCTTTAGTCCAGGTGTGGGAGGAGATCCCTCAGGGGACCATCCGCCACCTCATCAGGAGCATCCCCAGGCTTTGTAGGGAGGTCATACAGGCATGTGGAGGCCACACACACTACTGAGCCTCATTTTGACTTGTTTTAAGGACATTACATCAAAGTTGGATCAGCCTGTGGTGTTTTTTTCCAATTTAATTTTGAGTGTAACTCCAAATCCAGACCTCCATTGATTATTTTTGTGTGATTTTGTTGTCAGCACATTCAACTATGTAATGAACAAATTATTTAATGAGAATATTTCATTCATTCAGATGTAAGATGTCTTATTTTTGTGTTCCCTTTATTTTTTTGAGCAGTGTATATTATCAGGCCATGGTATTAACCTGGATAAAAGAATGGGTTACACTGAGAAATAGAAGGTTGTTGATGTTAGAGGGACATGATTTGCAATTGGGCTGGCGTGTATTTTTATGGTATGGGAGAAGTAAAATACATGGGTATTTTCAAAGGCATATGGCTAGGAATGCATTGTTATTAGCGTGGGGAAAAACCAGACATTACATGAAGATTCCAGTCTGGCTATCAACGATGGAAGCACTTATACTCTCAAATGTTTGTAAAATGGGAAGTATTGCTAGATATAAAGATATCTTAAATGAAAAGGGTGAGCTCAAAAAGAGTAACTGAATAAGAGTTGGAAATGCATTGGTATTCATATACGCAAATACAATCAAGATATAAAAAGACATTAAAGCTGAAGAAATTCATAAGGTGTTGACAGAATTGGATAAAAAATTAGCAGGAATGGAAGATAAGCCAATCAAAAACTGTATTGCTATTTACTAGGTATTAAATTAGAAGAACAAGTTAAGGTAACGATAGCATAGGCAAAACAAATTGGACAGAAAATGGCAGAAGCTATGGGACAGGAATTATGAATTAACAATATCAACAGCATATAAGGAAAACTTGTATAATAAGTTTTATGGATGGCAATTTGCTAAGATATTCAAAGATAAATCAGCTAAATGCTGGAAGGGCCACCAGACACCTGGAACATAATACTGTATATGATGGCCTTGCAAAGAAGCTAAAAAATATTGGACAGAAATACACACATGGTTGGAAAAAATGATAGAACATATAGATTTGAAACCTGAAATATTTTTATTAGGGATTGTACCTGAAGGCTACAGTAAAAAAATATTTAATCATACACCTATTAACAGATGCTAAAATTGTATTTGCTCAGAATTGGAAAAGTGGTATGATACCGGCAGAGGGAAAAGTAATTGAGAAAATATTTGAATGTGCAGAGATGAATAAGTTAACATTGGTAACTAAAGAAAAAGAAGAAATGGTATATTATATGGTATGGGGTTTATTTGATCAATGGTTGGAAAGTAAAACAACTTACAATTAATATTTTTTCAACCAATATAACAATAATCCCATTTTCTTTTAGCTACTATTGAATATGTCTATCATTTTTAACAAACTTAAAATTTCTCTATATTTTCACCTACTCCATTTTAATTTGTTTTACTTTGGAATTATTGTAAATATAAAAAACTTTTTTAAAAAAGAGATGGGGCAACGTATAAAGAAACTTGGGGGGTGGGGGAGAGGAATCCAAGGGGAGAGCTAGTCACAGGTCTCCATCGGGATGGCGTCCTATTGATTGGCGAATAGGCTTAAGCGCCCGCCAATGGGGGGGGGGGGGTTGGATCTGTTGTCACTTGGAGCGGTGAAAGGGGCGACGGCCTCTGCCTTGAAATGTCCGCTTGCCTCGGAAGTGTCCTCTGTTTCTGTCCTTGAACTCTGATCCATCCGGTTCCCAACCTGGTCTGTGGGTATATGCCCTCTGGCCTCGAGGGGCATCAAACCCCATGTCTGGGGGCCGAAAGGAAGCCCCACGGAATTTTTTTCCACGGCAATCAGCTAGTCTATGTAGAGAAGGCAGGATCTTTCTCCCATCCTTCCTCTCTACCAGAAGCCGCTCTAGGGCCTCTCCAAACAGCTTGCCCCCCTTGTAAGGAGCAGAGGCTAGGTTCCACGTATTTTTCATGTCTGCCTTCCAATAGCGAAGCCACAGTAGTCGGCGGGCCACCACCAAAGAGGAAAGGGCCCTGGAAGCAAACTTGGCGGCAGTTAAGGTGGCATCTGCCGAGAATTCCGTAGCTGCTATCACTTTGTTCATATCTTGGTGGAAGCGGAGGTCACCAGGGGGAACTCTCGCTTGTATCTGGCGGAGCCACATCAATGAGGCCTTGTTGAAGAATGCGGCGGTTGTCGATGTTTTGATTGCCATGGCAGCGGTCTTGTGCACCTTGCGGAGGGTCCGCTCCGCCGGCTTATCCCCTGGGTTCAGAGCATCCTCTTCATGGCTAGGCAGGATGGGGGAGGATACTAAGGCCGCCACCGGGCCATCTATAGTTGGTAGTTCCAGTGCCTTGGAGAAATCCAGGGTCACATTATAAAATCTTCTTTCGTTGTCATTTAGGGGAGGGCACACCCCTGGTTGAGCACATTGCTTTTGGACCAGGTCCCGGAATATGTCAGGAGAGATTTCCTCGCTCTCTATGGTTGGCTGTGAAAAGAGCAACTCATTCGGGTCCACGGGGTCCAAGGCTGGCTCCACTCCCATACCTGTTGTGGCTTTGGCCTTGAGTAACAAGGATTTAAAGAGGGATGGGTGAAAGAGCTTTCTGGGGGATGCCTTTTGTTGCTCTTCATGTTGGGGAGTTTCCGGGGATCCCGGAGCAGCCTGACGTCTTTGTTGCAGGCCTGCCGCGATGCCCTGCGCTATGGCCTCCGATATCAGGACTTTCATCTGGTCGGAGATTTCAGGGCCCTGACTCTCCTGTGGGGGAACTCCCGCCACCGCCGGGGGAGTAAAGCCGCCCTCTGGCGCCCCCTTCC